GATCTGCAGCCAACGGGCTTTTGCTTGTATCATGCCACTATTTCATGCTCACCTTCTCATAGATTACTCTGGTTCTGTTGGGTTAAACACCAGTAGTGAGTGTACTCTTTGTTTTGCACATTTCTTACCCAATATAGATCTGGCTCATCAGGGATAGACGTTGGTAATCTTTTGTAATATGGTGCCCCCCAAGTGGATCCTCTCAGTTATGGATCTTCTCCATGTGACACTCTGTGCAGGGAAACCACCTGCACCTCCTTAAATCTGGCTTATTGTGGGAATAAAGCCTGACAATCTCCTGCCTGCTTTGTCCGGTTTGAGAGGCATTGCTATTAGGCATCAAGATTGGTCTTGGAGCACAATCTGCTGCCAGTTATGGTGCTGCCTCGAAGTTCTTCTGCCCCCTGCAGGCCTCAACGTAGTACTGCACCAAGGTGGCAGAAGGAAGGCAACTGAGGTGTAGCTCATCTTGCAACTTGCTCAGTTGTGAGTCTTCTTTCAATACCAATGTGGTAATGGAGAAATGTGCAGTGTTGCTGATTCAGAAGGGACAAGAGGGCTACAGAGATGTTCAGGAATGACCCCCTCCTTTGCAGTGGGGTGATCTATGTCAGAGCCAAGGTTCAAAGGGAAAGGATTCTGAAAAATAAGTCATGTCAGACTAGCCTGATCTCGTTTTTTGACAGAATTACAACCCTGGTAGATGAAGGGAACGCAGTGGATGTAGCCTACCTTGATTTCAGCAAGGCATTCGACAAGGTGCCCCATGATATTCTTGTAAAGAAGCTGGTAAAATGCGGACTTGACTATGCTACCACTCAGTGGATTTGTAACTGGCTGACTGACCGAACCCAAAGGGTGCTCATCAATGGTTCCTCTTCATCCTGGAGAAGAGTGACTAGTGGGGTGCCACAGGGTTCTGACTTGGGCCCGGTCTTATTCAACATCTTTATCAACGACTTGGATGATGGACTCAAGGGCATCCTGATCAAATTTGCAAATGACACCAAACTGGGAGGGGTGGCTAACACCCCAGAGGACAGGATCACACTTCAAAACGACCTTGACAGATTAGAGAACTGGGCCAAAACAAACAAGATGAACTTTATCAGGGAGAAAGGTAAAGTATTGCACTTGGGCAAAAAAAATGAGAGGCACAAATACAAGATGGGTGACACCTGGCTTGAGAGCAGTACACGTGAAAAGGATCTAGGAGTCTTGGTTGACCACAAACTTGACATGAGCCAACAGTGTGACGCGGCAGCTAAAAAAGCCAATGCAATTCTGGGCTGCATCAATAGGAGTATAGCATCTAGATCAAGGGAAGTAATAGTGCCACTGTATTCTGCTCTGGTCAGACCTCACCTGGAGTACTGTGTCCAGTTCTGGGCACCACAGTTCAAGAAGGACACTGACAAACTGGAACGTGTCCAGAGGAGGGCAACCAAAATGGTCAAAGGCCTGGAAACGATGCCTTATGAGGAACGGCTAAGGGAGCTGGGCATGTTTAGCCTGGAGAAGAGGAGGTTAAGGGGTGATATGATAGCCATGTTCAAATATATAAAAGGATGTCACATAGAGGAGGGAGAAAGGTTGTTTTCTGCTGCTCCAGAGAAGCGGACACGGAGCAATGGATCCAAACTACAAGAAAGAAGATTCCGCCTAAACATTAGGAAGAACTTCCTGACAGTAAGAGCTGTTCGACAGTGGAATTTGCTGCCAAGGAGTGTGGTGGAGTCTTCTTCTTTGGAGGTCTTTAAGCAGAGGCTTGACAACCATATGTCAGGAGTGCTCTGATGGTGTTTCCTGCTTGGCAGGGGGTTGGACTCGATGGCCCTTGTGGTCTCTTCCAACTCTATGATTCTATGATTCTATGATTCACCCCCCTCCCCCTGTGTCATGGTCCCAAATCCAAAGCAGCCCCCTCTGCAGTTGCTATTCAGATAACCAAACCAGATATGTGAAGTTAGGGCTGCCATACGTCCAGATCTTCCCGCACATTAACGGGATTTCAAAGGAATTGACGTCCTGGAGGGAATTTCCGAAAGGTGGCGCGCTTTGTCCCGGATCTTAGGCAAGTCAATTGAAAAATCACATTTTGGGGGGCATTTTTGGCTCAACAACTTCCGGGTTTTCCTTAAAACTTTTTGAAATGTGGCAGCCCTATAAGTGCCTTCCTGGGTTTGATGCACCTCATTGTCTCGTTCTTTTTTGCTACCAGATGCTAGTTCGGTTAGAACCAGTCTCTGGCCATTGGCTGTGCTTCTGCTGACCCTTAGTGGAGGAAAACGTTCTGTCGCGGATGGATAGCTTTCCTGCATTCAAGCGTTTAAATGAGCATTCAGAGCATGAATAGCCAGGAAAGCAGATCTCCATTTCCACTGGGGGGCAATGGAATCTATCTTTCAAAAGAGGAAAAGGAGAGGAATACAGAGGGAAAGAGGGGTCCATGTTACAAGTTTGTATGAGGCTCAGAGGAGTCATGCCTTGGCAGTGCCCATTACCCTCCAAGACTAATTTATTTACTGTATTTGGCAGCTGCCTAATAACAATCATTCTTTGTGTAACATACATGGAATATTGGCATACCCAAAGATGCAGAGTTCCCTCTCCGCAGTGGTGTGTCATGTGGAGGAGATGGAGGAGAAATGTGACTTGGCAGGCATTTCAAGACAAATCTATCAAATCCACACTTTCCAAAGTAATATGAGAATCCAAACACGGCTATCTTTCAAAATTTGCATTTATCTGGATTTTGTGATTCAGTTCTCCAAACTATGTTTACAAAAGTGTAAGTGTGCATAAAAATGAAGACACTCATGAAAAGAAGCATATAAAAACACATTATATTAGGGAAAATATAATATGCCCAGAAAATTGAAAACTTTATCAGGAGATGAAATGTGCAATAAATCTCTAGTCCCTTGCTGTGGTTGTTTTCTAGAAAAGCTAGGAGAAATCTAGTTGTTTTTCCAGTGGCGTAGTGTGAGGGGTGCAGGGGGGGTGGCCGCACCGGGCACAACATCTGGGGGGGGGGCGGCAGAAGAGACTCGAGTGCTAAAATCCACGGGTTAGGGGGCACAAATTACTTGCCTTGCCCCGGGTGCTGACAACCCACGCTACGCCACTGTGTTTTTCTACCACTGACTTCAGAGGTGACATTCCTTTTAAAAAGAACTTTTAGACAATTCTCTTGCACTGAAATAAATTACATAATGTAACAATGTAAGTTTCAGCCATAGCAGATAGCAAGATGGATAGCATAGGTTTTGGCAGAAGCAAAACTGTAGCTGAATGGAATCAGTGATGATTGCCATAAACCCAGGATAGGGCAGGAATTGCTGCTTCCTTACACCCTTCGTATACCTACTCAGACTATAGTTCAGCAGTATAAAACAGCACATGGTTTTATTTAGTTCTCCAGAACTCTTCACCCAGCTAGTTAGTAAACCAAGCAAGGGGATGCAAGAGAAAAAATTGGCTGATGGGTTTACACCATGGGTTTACATCCAATGCGAGTCTCAAGACAGCGAGTGGAATTCAATGTTTTGCTAAGTTGATCTTTCCATCAGCACAAGAAATTCTGCTTACCAGATGGAACAATTTCTCCTCCCCACCATGTATGTGCTGTTCTGATCTGCAACTATGTGCAGTTTCAACCTGATCACTCCATAGCACCCAGAGGGTCCACCTTGAATCTGCTGCCGGCTCCCAGACTTGCGCATAATGGCTCAGAAGCTTCTAGCATTACAATACACACACTGTGTGTATTCTGCATGTGAGTAGCCCATTGCAGAGCACATATCCGGGTTGCAACTCCAGTTTATGTATATATGCAGGAATTTGCTTGAGAATGCTCTCCCCACAAATTGTTTCAGCTGTACCCCTATCTGCAATGGCCATGTGAACCAGCTGCAATTAGTTTGATGCTAATTTACACAACACGTTTAAAGGTTTGAGGCTGATTTGAAGCTGAGATTTGCATGTAGCGACTTAATCTTTTTGCTGCAGGGTTATGGGTCTAGACCAGGGGTAGGCAACCTAAGGCCCAGGGGCCGGATGCAGCCCAATCGCCTGCTCAAACCAGCGCACGGATGGTCTGGGAATCAGCGTGTTTTGACATGAGTATAATGTGTCCTTTTATTTAAAATGCACCTCTGGGTTTTTTGTGGGGCCTGCCTGGTATTTTTACATGAGTAGAATGTGTCCTTTTATTTAAAATACATCTCTGGATTATTTGTGAGGCATAGGAATTCGTTCACCCCCCCCCCCAAATATAGTCCGGCCCCCCACAAGGTCTGAGGGATGGTGGATTGGCCCACGGCTGAAAAGGTCTAGACTGGTCTAGACTGTCACTCACACTGCACTGAAAGCCTTTAGCCGAACCAACTCATGGTGAGTCAGAAAATCTGGGCAGACACGGAAATATTCTCAAGAGTATTTCAGATCTCTCTTTGCCCCAATCAAGACTCAACATCATTGAATAGGAATAGATTAAAAATTGCACTGAGCTGCTGCTTGTCCAACTCACTCCCTTCCAGGGGGTCAGATGTCACCCACACCCTCACACCCCATCTGCACACAACAATGCCCCATGGACATCCTGTTCACACACGTCCATATACCCCGCCCCCAATCTACACTTCCCTAATGCACCTTCACACTCACCCATCCCCATCCTCCCACCTTGGTCATATGCAGGCTGCATACTCACTATGCATTTAAAGCTCTCCCCTGCCACAGAAATCATGGGAACTGCAATTCCCAGCACCCTACACAAACACCAACCCCCAGAATTTTTTTTTTTGGGGGGGGCTTGCTTTAAATGTATGGTCATGTAAACTTCCTCTCCCCTTATTTTTCTTTCCTTCCTTCTTCTTTCATTCCCTCCCCTGGTGGGAAGTTTTACAAAAGACAGGTCCTGTGACATATAGAGAAACCCTGAAAATAGGAATTTACATTGACTTCAGCCTTATGATTTTGATTGCAAACCTTTATTCAGAATATAGTTCTTATTACATTCAGAATTACTTATTTTTTTAAAAAAATAAATTTAGCTTCATTCACGTTGTGCAGAGTCCTGAGGCGGATCTACACACATGGTTTTTAATGTTAGGGAAGGGTTTTGATAACGTATTTGGACACATGACATCCTACTTTTAAATTCCATAATGCGTTATTAAAATGGGACACCAGAGGGCACCACAGAGCAACCAGCAGCAGGAAGGCAGCGTTTTCACGGGGGGGGGGGGTGAGGGTAAAAATGCTTTAATTAACAAGTATGCCCTGTGATGTTTTAGAACAACATATCTAATAATGTTCTAATAACATTAAACTGGTCAGTGTAGAGCCAGCCCTTGTCACTCTAAAGCAAGTGGTTTGAAGTAGGCAGTCTCTGCAGAAAGAAGATGCCTTTGCAATCCCGTTCTTGCTGCTTGGTGTGTTTTCTCATGATGGTTCTTCAGGAAGGCAAAGGTTTCTCACATATGTAGAAGTTTGCAGTGGAACAGCTCTCATCATTCCATTCCCCAGAAAAATGGATCTCTGCACAGTCTTCCTTGTTCTGATAGTCACTGGGCTGACCCTGTCTCCAATTCCTGAATGAAGAAGGGAGGTAAGATACATTGAAAAATGCAGAAATGGTTCTTCTCCAGCCACACTATCCTCGACTCGCTTCCCAAATCCAAGTATATCCATGCTATTCTCTCTAGATTTTCCATTCTGCACTTTGACGCAGCAGGGGCGTAGGAAGGGAGTGCGGTCCGCCTGGCCTGCAGCCTGCCCAAGTCACCTGCCTCTCCTGGGAGTGACGCTGCGCCCCTGTGCGCGGATTGCCCCGCCCCTGCTGCTCTGGGTGCTGGAGCAGCCAGCTGCACCCCTGGGACTCAGTGACTGGCACATTTGTTTTGTAAAATTTACACATTGCTGGATTGTAAATAACCTCAAAACAGATTACTAAGAGAATAAAACAATAAAATTATTGGTGAAAATAGTTAAAAACAACTTTTTTGCAACATTCAAAAAAGAAATAAAAGCAGCAATAAAGTCAAAACAGATTAAAATGCACATCAACATTTTAGCTATCTGGGTAGGCTTGTCTACCCAGCTGTCTTCCAGGGAGCTCAAGGCATATCCCACCCAAGGAAGGTCTGTGACAAGACCTAGATCTGCTTACTTTCAGCAAACCAATTGCACTGTATGACTTCATATCACATCTTAGCATAAGCTGGGGAACATTTTAGCTCAGCAGGCCAGATCTTTTTCTCACTGGCCCACGGCAGGCCAACTTTGACAGGTGGGTGGGACCATAATGGTAGCAGGTTATTGACACCCATCAAAGTTCACAGAAGGTTGGTGTAGTGCAACCTCCTGTGAATATGTACTCCCTGTGCCAGGGAGGCTCCCTTTAACTAAAAAGCAGCTGGTGGTTGGTTAGAAGGAGCCCCTTTGAAGGGGGAAATGCTCCAGTCTTCAGGGCATTGCCGCCTCTGCAGAGAAAGCAGTTTCTATTGAAATCACTGGGAGAAGCACTTCCTTTGGGGGGCAGCAGCATCTGAGGGGGTATGTGAGAGACAGTGGGGCAGAAGAAGGGGGCAAGGGGGCTCACCAGGCCAAGACCTGGTCAGCTACTCCTGTCTCTGTTGCCTTTCCAGGATGGCCAAAGCAGGAGCCTGGCCAAGTTTGGCTTGCTGGGGGAGGTTGCGGCATTCACAGTCCTGTCTCTTACTTGTAGCTGCTTAAGTAATTGGTGCCATCAATCCACCTCCATTCCCCTTCTTCATCGATGTCATTGAGTCCAATCCAATAGCGTTCATTCCTGGTTTGAGACTCGAGGAAATTCTGCAAGGAAACCCCCCCATAGGATAGGGCAGGCACTGACGTTTTGTTTTAATGATACAAACACACACAACTCATAGAAGTGGCGTTATTCAAGCAGCATTGCCTGCAGGGGTGCGACTGGAGGGTTGAGGGGTTGGGTGGGTGGCTGAAGGTCCCCTCAAAATTCTGTGGCTGTTATGTGTGCACACTGCGCCATGTGTTCATTTCACTCACATGCTCATGTCCCTTGCAACATGTAATGACACAACACATCAGCACATCGTGGGGTGTGTGCACATTGCGCAGCCCTGGCTCCCTCAGTCATGGGGCAAGCCAGCGCGGAAGATGCTCCCTGTGTCTCTGCATGAGTCCTTGCTCTGGTCTTGCCTTTCTCTAGTCAGGAAGCATCTTGATCAGCAAACCTGGATTTCCAGAGCCACACTTGCCACTAAATATCTACAGAGTGTCCACATCTTCTACTTTACAGATAACAGTCCTCTGTTTGAAAGAGTTCTCTATTTTAAGAGCTGGCTAGTTGAAGTCCATACACACACACACACACACACACACACATAAATGAGCATATGCAAATTTTACACCATCTCTTTTTTGGTGCTACATTTCATTTTTGTAATGTCCTCAATGTCTGACTGGGTTTTCTCTCTGGGTAAAACTGAAATTTGTGACAATCACCAGCAGCTGAAACATCACATGCTGGATGTATTTTGTGCTTTTCTCCTTGCATTTAAAGGTGATCTTACCTAATTTGCACCTTCCAAAACAATATACTCAGCTATACTCTGTATACTATTTATAGCATATCTTTCCTGTGTTTAGAATGATCCACCCCATCCTTCAAGATTTGAATTTCTCTGACTTTTGCAATGCAGTCTTCCAGCCGAGTAATGTGTGTGGGTGACTTTGCATATAAATGCATATTAGTGAAGATAACATAAAAATGTGTTATGTTAGAGGAGATTGCATTCCAAAGATGTGCATGTTAGGGGAAATTTGTACTGGAAGAGAACGTCTTTTTAAAAAAAATCTCTAAAACCTGATATGGAAATGTGGAGAAGTGAACTTAAGACTGGCAATAATGAAGAACTGAGAGAAACCAAAATGGACATGTTTGCCCATCCCTAGCTGCCCACAAGGGCAGCTGAGCCCTGAAGTCATTGTAAGAGGCTTCCCAGCATCCCTCACCGTTGTCGTCTCAGAGCGGTTGGGGCCTTGTTTCAATTTCACGTTTGCATCTTATTTCTACGACATTAAATGTAGTTTCCCAACAAAAGACCCTGGGAAATGTAGTTTGAGGTGTCAATAAGAACTCATTTGAGAGGCAACATATCCACACACATACAGGATCAATATTCTAGCACCTTTACCTGCTTGGCCTCATCATGAATAACCACCAGACTTGAATTACGTTGAGCACATTGAGATTCAGCTATGTGCCAAGTAAACTTCTGTACAGAGAAGTAATAACACCGACCGTCAAAGTATTCCCATTCCCTGCTTCTGGAACCGCATGGGAACACTGGCAAAAGAGAAAAGGCACAGAATGAAAGCCCTGACCGTGGCTTCACCCAATGGACTGCAGGTGGAGCGGGCACGCTCCGGCCATCCTTCCACAGCCTTCCCCACCAGGAGGAGAGACGTGCCATCTTTCTGTTTTAATATAGGCATGCTTTCTAAATTGTAACTGTTCTTCACATGTGGGGCTTTTTAGTGGATAAAGAAAGCCTTTTCTCCCTCTCTCAGCACAGCACTGGATGGGGGCATCCCCTGAAGCTGAAGGCTGGAACATTCAGGAGAGACAAAAGAAAATACTTCTCCACAGAGTAGATAGTTAAGGTGGAATGTGCTCCTCTATGGGGCAGCGATGCTCATCGAGGAGGCAGCAGCAGCAGCAGCCAAGCCCATTTCATCCCTGTAATCCTGGGGGTGCTGGGGTTGTGAGGGTTTGCAGCACATCAATGGCACAAGCTCATGAGTTACACCTGTTTCTAAGCTCCTCCAGCTCAAGGGACTCCCAGAGTTCCTGGCCCAGGAGGTGCTTAGAGTTCAGGCTTCCCTGGAAGATGCCGCTTTGATGGGGAAGACCTGCCTTCTAAAGCCAGGCATTGGAGGAATGATTGTGGGTGATAAATTATGCCCCTCCTGCAGTGGAAACAGGCTCTCTGGCATAATGCCAGGCGAGAGCCACCTCCCCCAGGCTAGTGCAGCCGCAAGCCCCAGATGCTTTTGGCAAGACACTTACGCTCCTTGCTCATTTCAAGCTGTTTATGCATGTCATTCATTTCTGAAAAAAACTTTGACCCTGAAATTTTAAGAAGAAATACAAGTAAACTCAGAATATTAGAAATTCAGAAGAGAGAAAAAGAGATAGGGTGGGCTAATAGCCGTAAATAAATAAATAAAATAAATAAAAGATAGGGTGGGACTTCTTCTCCCATTCCAGCATCACTTGTCACAAACCAGAAAGGTAGATTCTGGAAATCCCAAATTAAATTAGTCCCAACACCTAATTGCTATTCCTCTTGGACAGCTTCCATCCTAGGATAAATAGCAGAATTAAGGTGAGGGGAGAATAATTTTTGTTAGAGTAATGACAGAGAACATTAGTAAGAGCTCATATCCTGCATGCACCTCCGGATATTTTTTATTTATTTACATGGTGCCTGGGGGAATCCCAATGACCAGGGAAAGAACTCTGAGACCCTGGAGGAGACAGTGCTGGGCTGGTTGGTCCACTGGTCTGACTCAATATCCGGCAGAAATTTATATGGTGCCTCATCCCCCTTGGCCATTCTGGCTGTCTTGACTCACTAGTCAGCCATTGGCCATCCCACCAGCCCAAGTTCGATTTTCTAAACAGTTTTCCAGCAGCTTTCAAAGGTGAGAATCTGAATTGGGGTGGGAACCCCACATTTGGTCATAAAGCTGGAGCATTTCAGACTTTGGAGTCCTTTAATTACCACTGGAGATCAGTAGCCCGAGCAAGATGATCATCAGCAGGTAAGCGAGAGCCAGGAGCCCATAAACCAGGAAAGAGGAGCTCCATTTCCACTGGGGGAATGACCTGCCTTTCAAAAGAGAGAAAAAGAAGAAGGTTGAATCTTATGGCCATTTGTCCTTATCATTCCTTTGTGGATAATGGAGGTTAGAGAGGATTTTACTCTATATTTTCAAAGCATAATGTTTCTCCCCACCCCCACCCCAGTTCCTTTCTCTCTCACACACAGTTCCAATTTTGTTAAACTCCATATTACAGTGGTGCCGCTGGTTATGAATGCTTCTGGTTACGAACGCTCCAGGTTAGGAGCTCCGCTAACCCAGAAGTAGCTGCTCCTGGCTGTGAACTTTGCCCCAGGATGCGAATGGAAATCGCGCGCCAGAGGCGCACACAGCAGGAAGCCCATTCAGGGGAAGGTTGCTGTATCATAAATGTAGAGAAAAACTTTAAATAAGCAAACTGTGGGCTCCCCTCATCTCATCCTCTATTTCACCAAATTAAATCCACTCTCACTCCAAACCTTTTAGTTCCTTGTAGCTGGGTTGTTTTCGCAGTTTCTTATCTCATGATCTCTAGCACACACCTGTAGTTTAGTCCAATTAAAATCCAATTAACAGGATAACATTTGCTTCCAGGAACGGGGTGGGGTGGGGGTCATGGCAGCCGGAGTGCCCCGTGCACCCAGTGCCGTTGCCTGCCCTCGCATTCCATGGGGAAGCGAGTGCCACTGCCAGGCAAACTGCAGGTGAGAGCCTGGTTCCTCTTCCAACCGAAGAGGAATGCAGATAATGAAATCCCCCCTTCATTATCTGATTACCTCCATCTGTCTCTCTCCCGCAGTGTTGGGAGGGACGCCAATTCTGGCGCACCGGAAACAGGAAGGCCCTTGATTAGAATTTCTGATCCTGCTTCTCTCAGACACTCAAGTCATTTTTTACAATTTTTACGTGCAGTACTTTGATGATTACGTAGTATATAAATATCTTACAAAGATAAATTAAACACTAGAGCAGATGCAACCAGACCCTCTAGGTCCATTCGCCCTTCTTTGTGAGCAGGCCCCAAGCTGCTCTTGTGAACTGGCAAATGGCAGGCCAAATTGTCTGCCTGCGACCAAATCGACCCTTGGCAACAGTGTGTGTTCCCTGGGGCACGGGATCAACTGCCCAATGGTTACGCCTGGCCATTTGGCCTCTTCTTTCTTTGCAGGTTCTCCCACCCTCCCTCACTTCAGGATGTTGCTGATGGTACAACCTTGTTATTGACTATGTCAGCTGTCATATTTGGGGCCAGGAAGGAATTTTTCCATTTGGCAAATTGGCATCAGCCATTGGGTTTTTGCCTACCTTGTAGCAATCACCACAACTTTCTAAAGTGGATTGGCATTGGGTAAGCTTAGATCTTGGATGGAGGGGAGGTTGTAGCCTCTGACTGCCCCTCCAGGTAAGGGTATCCTGTTAAAAGGATCCAGGAGCAGTGGCGTAGCGTGGGTTGTCAGCACCCGGGGCAAGGCAAGTAATTTGCACCCTCAACCCGTGGATTTGCGCCCCCTAACCCGTGGATTTGCGCCCCCTAACCCTAACCCCCAGATGTTGCGCCCGGTGCGGCCGGCCCCCCCTGCACCCCCCACGCTACGCCACTGTCCAGGAGTAGTGACTTCTGTCCAACACCTAGAGGGGAGCTAGGGCCACTGCACTCCTCCATCAGGGACCACTTTTGGGGTGCCCCGATGAAGGTCATAGGGCATTATTCCCTGCTGGTTGGCTTCAACCTTAGAGGCCCTTCCAGCAGACGGGCTGGAGTGATATTTGTGTGGCTTATCCCAATGCCTATGGCCAAAACCTACACATCTGTAACCAATAAAGTTGTGGCCTTATTGGATCCCATACTTATTTAATCCCCAGGGAACGGGGTGGTCATGGGGCCTCAACATGCAAGTCAGGGAAGAGAAGAAGTCAATTAATTAATTCCAGCTTCAACACTGGCAGTGAATTGCTGGTAGGAACTGAGTTGGTCAAAGAAAGTTTGACCAACATTGCCAGCCTGCTAACCTTCCTTCAAACAGTATATTGCTGGCATCTCCATACACCTGCCAGGGCCAACTTCCTGTCCAAACATCTCCTCTTCCTGACACCAGGTACTGGAAGTAGGCCTAATTCTCAGATCTGAAGCTGCTTTGTGCAGTTCCACTTTGGGTGCTTATTGTGGTGCCCACTCCAAAGCCACAGGAAGGAAAGCAAATCTTTCTATTTTTCCTCTACCCCAAGTCAACTGGAAAGACTCCTAGCACAAAGACAAAGGACCTGTTAATCTGGAATCTGGAAGGTTGCTTACCCCTTAGATGCAATTTTGAGTCCCCTAATAGTGACTTCAGATCTGGATCCAGTATTGGAATAGGTTTACCACAAAGGGCTTCCTGACTTGTTGGATCTGGATCCAAACCTTGAGGCCACTGCATGCCACAAATACTTACCTGTTTTTCTTGGAGCCATGGCTTTCCCCATCTTGGCCAGATATCCGTGGTCTCCATCTTCCACTTGCTCATGGTCACCAACAATACCCATCTTGCTTTTGTCTTCAAATTTCTCCTCTCAATGCATTTATAATAGGAGCAACAAATTGAGGAACTAAGCATCTATTTCTTTCCTTCCCCCCTCCTCCTCCTGTTTGTTTGGAAGATTGGGGGAAGTTAAAACATGTGCCACCCACTGGTTTCAGGAATTAAGCTCCTTTTAAGAGGAACTTTTAGACTTTTATAATGGCACTTTAAGAAATGGTCCCTTCCTCTGAGAAAACCAGACATTGCAGCATGATATCTCCATGACCCATTTTATCTGATCTTGGCTGGATCTAGAGACATCAAAAAAGCATTTCAGGAAAACGCATTGTAAACTTCATAGTGGGAAATCACATTGGCGAAATAAGGAACTCCATAGTGCGAGTAGATAAATAGGTACTGCTGTGGCAGGAAGGTAAACGGCGTTTTTGTGTGCTCTGGTTTCCGTCACGGTGTTCCATTGTGCCAGAAGCGGTTTAGTCCTGCTGGCCACATGACCCGGAAAGCCGTCTGTGGAGAAACACCGGCTCCCTCACCCTGAAAGCGAGATGAGCACCGCAACCCCAGAGTCGCCTTTGACTGGACTTAACTGTCCAGGGGTCCTTTACCTTTCTTTTTTAACCCTTTATGGATGCTAGCACTGTGGAAACAAAAGTTGAGTTTATGTGAATGGAGGAGAACTTCCACAGACCATGTGTGGCTGTTTACTTTTACCCTACTTTTCTCTTTCTCTCCATTGTAGGTATTGCCATACCAGATACACGGCCCAAGAATCCTGGGAACTGAAGGGCCCTGGGAAATGTAGCCGTGAGGGGTATAATATAGTTCCCAGGATTCAGTGGGGATGTGCTTTAAATGTATGTTGTGCACACAGCCATCACCTCCTCTTTCTGTGCTTCCTCCCTTCTCTTAGCATTAATTACTCAAATGCTATAATTAATTCCTACACTCCTCATGCCGGATACATAATCTTGTTATTCTGAATTAAAATTAAAGGATCACTTCAAGCCAAAGTGTTTACTGTTAAAATATGTGTGAGAATTCCTCACCCAGAGAGGAGCCCATTCTGTGCGAATTACCTGCCCTGTAGAATCTGCCTTAGGAGTGGCAGGAGATAAGTCCAGAGCAGACTCATGCAGAGACATCGCTGTAACTGAGCCCATTGTGTGAGCTGTGTGGCTGTTACCGGGGAGGGGGCTTGACCCCTGCAGCAGCAGCACCCCAAAGTTTATACATGCCTCCAACTATGTGTCTTCTCCACTCTTCTGTTGCAACACCTTCATGGGACTCTTGTGTTCACTTCCCTGAAAAATTATTTGGAAAACGCTGACTCCAAAAGTTGCTCAATCTAAAACAAGCAACAGTTCTGAGTTCAAGAAAGCATTCCTTAGCATTCCTTATAGAACTACTCATTCTGTCCTTATTTTTAAATTATTCCTCCCAGTTTATCAAAATCCCAAAGCTTTGATCAGCTTAACGTTGCAGCCACTATAAACTTTTCCCACCAAGAACCGTAGTATCATTGGGCAGCTCCTGGGGGAGCTCGACTGAATTGAGGTGCCTCCATTTGGGGCATTGCCCTTTAAGAAAGCACTCTGACTCCAGGGGAATTATCTGGTATAACAGGGATCAGATCTCTCAGAAACCCAAAATTTTGCATTCCTCATACAGTGCATCAAGCTGTGAGGTGTTCTCTGCTGCTGTTCTGGAGAAGTGAATTTAAAGAGTCCCAGTGAAAGTGTGTCAAAAGAAAAGGGAGATGTAGTCATAGAGTTGCCTGCATGGTACGAGGGAAGGAAGCCTCTGCACATGCACAGAAGGCTGCATCCAATGTTCATCACACTCAGAGTACACCTATTGAAATTAATAGACTGAGTACAATATAGCCCACTGATCCTGGCTTCCTGAACAAAACCCCAGATGGAAAATCATAACCAGAGTGGAATGCAACCTAGCCTGAACAAATAAACTCTGCCAGCCGTGTTTTAATGACAAAGGGACATGTAAAAACTTTCTTTTGCCTGTGTGAGACATGTTGAGACAATGTGTGATTGACAAGGGCATGTCTGGATCTCAGATTTCTGCCGACACCACTCTTCTTCTGTGACATAGCCATGATGTTTTGATGACACTTTAAGAAATGTATTGTGGGAAACTGTGAGAACTTTTAAAAACTCGCGTAACCTTTCTTCTGGGCTTCTTCTTCTTTGTTCGCGTTACACATCAAAACCTTTGTTGCAACAAATAAACGATCAGGCCTCCTGGCCACTGATTTGCTCCTCCATTGTTTGGCTGAAGTCTCTCATTTTCTGACCAACCCAGAACCCGCAGGGCTAGACTCCAGCAAAGATTGGAGATGCCTTAAGTAGCACACCCCAAGACTTGTCCTTTTCATGTACAGATGGCAGTGATGTAACAACTGCTTACGCTGGCTGCATAGCATGCAGGTGTGGAGGCTTGCAAAGCAAGGTCTACAAAAGTGCTGTTCAAAATCCCTAAACTGCAGAACTTCAAGGGCGTGTGTGAAGTGACCCTAATTCACCTATGGGACTGTGTTGAGATGTCTGTTGGCTGAGGTTTTGGGACATGGGTGTAGTCAAGGGAGGGGGGCAGCTGCCCCCATTAAATCAAGTAAATCAATACTCAACTAAATGAGGTTCTGCCCCCCAACATAAATCCTGGCTATGCCCATGTTTTGGGGTTCATTCTCTGGGAAGCAAGTTTCGACTCATGGCTGTCAGCTGGTCTCAAATTAGGAGCTTTGAATCTTTGGGTAAAGCAGTTTTGCAGAAATGATTATGAAACCCTTTTATGAAGAAAAACTACTCATCATTTTTTGGGAAAAAATAAATATAGTATATTGCATAAGATGCTGCTGGAATTGCTTACTATGTCAAAATACCAAAAAAGGAAGGAAATATCCTATGTTCCTAAAAACCAAAGTAAAGTTTATGGGCCATATTCAACTACTCTATTTTGCTAGCACAACGGGGCTTCTCCTCCTCCAAAGACGCCGGGTGGCTGGGCTGCCAGAACAGCATGTGGCACAGGGAAATTGCTCCACTGGGCAAGCAGAAGTGCCATGCTGGATTCTATCCTAGATGTCCCTGAACCCCATGATGAGGGGACTCTCTCCTTTATGCCCAAGAATATGGTAGTTTATTCAGTCCAAATTACCATGCCCCTGCTGTATTTGCACATCCGAGAGTGGGAGGGAGTCCCCCCCTACACCCCCAACTCCTATTCACCAAGCTGTTATCTGCCCATGTGTGTTCAGATGGCTGTTAGGGTCTCTTCACATTACTGCCCACTCTTTATCCAGTTTTCTGATCAGACTCAAGCTGGTTTGAAAAAAGAGACTAACTGAACAGCAGTCTTTGTCAAGAAACCACAGGATCAACATGCATTGTGGCTAATGTCATGTGAATGTGGCTTAAAAAAAAATAGCAGTGAGGTGCAGAGTCAGTGGTATTGCACCAGGGAGGCAAATCTGGCATTTGAGGCTTAAAAGAAAACCCCAGACCCCCACCTTCCAACCAGCTGATGTCACTCTGATGGACAAGAGGATGGGTTTGATTTTGTCTTAGTTGTGCGCCCACTTCTCTAGAAGAGTAGTGCTGCTTGCAAAGGGGCTTTCAAACAGCCTCTCACTGCGTTGAAGTCCCAACACCTGGGGCATCAAAGTGCAGCATGAGCTGATGTCCCTATGATGTCCCTACGATTTCAGGTGTTTGTCAGGTGGGTGGTCCCAGTGACTTGCGAAATTTGGCACTCCAGGGGTGAGGGAGATAACACACTCACACCCCACTTTCACATACCATCCATGCCCCAAATTCATCAACTTTCCATTCAGGCTCATCTATATACAGTTACACCCCATTCACAAACACCCACACATTCCTATTCTACCCCTATACACACCATACATTTAAAGCATACCCCAAGAATCCTGGGAGCTGCAGTCTTCCCCTCACAAAGCTATAATTCCTAGCACTCTTAAAAACTACAGCTCCCAGAACTGCCTTTAAATGTATGGCGCATATACAGCCATAGCCATTTAAACCACTACTGGCCTTATTCTTTCTCTCCTTCCCTCCCCAGGTGTGGCAACTGGGACTACGTCTCGTGGCATACAGAAACAACCTGGAAAGAAGAATTGACATTGACTCCAGCCTCCAGACATGATTCTGATTACAAAACTTTACTTAGAGTATAATATGGTTATTATTAAATTGCTTAGAAACATAAAGATCTTTATATAAAAATTCTAGCTACATTCAAGTTGTGCAGAGTCTTTGTCACTCTAAAGCAGATAGTTTGAAGCGGAGAAATGGCCTGCTCTTGCAGTTGGTGCCTTTTTCATGGTTCTTCCTCAGGAAGGCAAAGGTTTCTCACATGCATAGAAGCTTTGAAAGTTACAGGGCACATCATTCCATTCCCCAGCCTCATGGATCTGGGCACAGTCTTCCTTGGTTTCATGGTCGTTGGGCTCGCCTTGTCTCCATTTCCTAAAAGAGGAAGGCAGTTAAGATACCCTGAAGAACCTGGCAAGAGTTCTTCTCTAGCCACACCATCCTCTGCTCCCCCTCTGCCCCCAACACTAGAACTGCCAAGCTATTCCTTCTCTATTTTCCGTTCTTCACTTTGGACACAGTCACTAGCTGATTTGTGTTGCTTATCTCGCTCCCTTCTTCCATGCAATTCAAGGCATCCCACCCAGGCACAAGCAATCAAAGAGGCTCCCTTTAACTGACAAGCAGCTGGTGGTTGGTTAGAAGGAGCCTCTGCGGAGGAAACAATGCTCCGAAGCAGCAGCACCCCCCACCCCCACCCCCCGCAGAGAAAGCAGCTTGTATTGAAACCACTGCGAGCAGCACCTGGAATACAAACCTCTTCCTTTGGAAATAACAAAAATGCTCCTTTTAGAAACGGAGCTTCCCCCCCCCCTTTTCAAAGGAACCTGCAAAGCTCCTTTTGGCGGTGCTTCCGAAAGTGCTATGCAAAGGACTTTGT